AGGTAAAATTGCGTGTTTACAAGTCGCTTATCATTGTCTCAAAACTCTTGTGTTTCTGGTTTCATTTCATGTTACACATTCATTGTTCAAGAGTTTATACAATTTGTTTTTTCGTATAAAATTTACGGCTTTGGTGCAACTTTGTCCATGAATTGATGCATTTGAAAGAACAAAATTTGACTTCATTTTTTACGATTCCATGCCTTCATGTATTATCAGTTTATTCATTTGGGAATTTTGATGTTCACTTAGTTTGTATCAAAAATGGAGAGATTGTTTTAATGGTAAAGGGAAATCCAAAAGATAACTTGGAGGATCATCAGAAATGAGAAAATAATTCTGACCCAAGTTTGTACCTTTTCTTGTTTGCTCAATGATTTTACAAACGCTTTTGTTCTCGATGATGAAGATTAAAGGAAAAGTGTAAATACTTCGACTTTGAAAATGTTCACTTTCAAGTGAAAAAGGTTATAATTTTGTCTTTTCAAATCTCAAGACATTCTCTTTCTCACTCGAATAACACGATTCTTCAATCAGTTTTGATACAATGAAACAACCTGTCAATTTGAGACGATGAAGGTAGATAAGATGAAATGATGGCAATGGCGGAGATGATGGAGATGATTGAAAAGTGAATCTATCCTAACCTAATTTAACCTTGCCTTTAATAGCAAAATGTTGATGAAATATGGTTAACTGATTTATCGATAATCATAAGACTGAATCTTGGTAAAATCCAATAATAATTGTATCTTATCCAATAAAATGTACAGAAAATAAATTTGAAAAGTTGGTTCAATTCTCTATCAGATAATTGGAAAAATTTTCTGAAAGATCACCACTCTCTAGTTTTTCTAGACGAAATTGGAAAAGTCGAGTTCTTCGTGAGTCATCATGTCTGACAATCGTGAATCATCTATTCGAATTACTAATCTAAGTACTGGAGTTGATCGTTATCTTCGACCCACTAATAGGAACGTGAACTGGGTTTAGATCGTCGTGAGACAGGTTAGTTTTACCCTACTGATAACTTGTCGTTGCAAAAGAAATCCTGCTCAGTACGAGAGGAACCGCAGGTTCGGACAAATGGTACATGTGCCTGCTCGACCGAGCAATGCCACGACGCTATCGTCCGAGGGATTATGACTGAACGCTTTAAGTCAGAATCCCGTCATTATACGGTAACGATACCGTTAAGTACTCAGTGTGGCCATAGGTAAAACTATGTTGGTGTAACCAATATTTACCATACCCTTTAATGGAGAGAAAGCATTCAGGTTTGGGTTGATAACAACATCAAACCGGCTATTCCGACCATAAATTCAAAACGAATTTATGTTGGTCTGCCTGAGTATAAAATCATCCATTCTTTTATTGTCATAATCCATTCGTTCATCTCTCATTTCTTTCCTTAATTTTTCAAAATATTGTTGTCGTTGTCGATTTGCTTCCTCAATCTTTTTCTTCATTGGAGCAGCTTGTTCTTCTCGACGTTGATTTACTGACGTCTTCTGTGGCGAATGTGGAGGCAGTCGTAAGAATGTCCTTAAAAAGGAGCCGCACGCACTTCGAAAGTACGAGAAATATTTTCACCAAAATATTGCAAAAGATAAGAGTAGAGTCTCCTTGTACCATTTCATACAAAAACTTCAGCAAAAGGAGAACCTAGAAGCACTTCACGAACTCTACATAAAAACACTTTATAAGGGAAAGGAGGTTGAAGATAACGATCAACGCCAGTACTTACAGGGCATTTCAGCTATTTTGTCCGATGTTAAACGTTCATTACTCAGCTCGTGGATCATCTAGAAAGATAATCTTTTATTTATGGAAGTTTCTCAGCTACTTGTTCGCTATATTTCAAGTGTAAGGTCATTGAAGGTCATTTTTCGGAAATCGCTGCTGATCATTTTAGAGGTCAAAACGAGGTCAAAACATGCTTATTGAAGTCAGAAAGTCCTATTGGCAAAGTTTTGTAATGACCAGGTCAAAAGTTATCGGCAAACGAACTTCTCAACATCATAAATGAATTTTTCTTTTTCGTAATTTAGCGTTTTTTGAGCTTATTAAGACTTCTTTCCGCACATTTTCGTCCGAAAATCGCAAAAACTCTCCACAAAACCGAAGTTGTTGCGCGAATTGAATGATAGCGTCAAACTTGAGCTGTTATTTCTATCAGAAATGTTAATGTTCGTGTTTATTTCTCTTAGTGGCTTCGCGTTGTATTATAATGACTTTTCGGACAAAAATGTGCGGAAAGAAATCTGTTTGTTCTTCTCGACGTTGATTTACTGACGTCTTCTGTGGCGCATGGGGAGACAGTCGTATGAATGTCCTTGAAAAGACCAGCACGCACTTCGAAATTATGAGAAATATTTTCACCAAAATATTGCACAAGATAAGAGTAGAGTCTCCTTGTACCATTTAATATAAAAACTTCAGCAAAAGGAGAACCTAGAAGCACTTCAAGAACTCTACATAAAAACACTTTATAAGGGAAAGGAGGTTGAAGATAACGATCAACTCCAGTACTTAGATGAGTAATTCGAATAGATGATTCACGATTGTCAGCCATGATGACCTACCAGATACTGCACCACTCTGGTAGGTGATTGTACTTATTAACTTTCTGACTCAATCTTATGCCGTCTTTTTATGAATAAACCCATGACAATCCGACTCGGTAGTGATTGTGACTATAACTTCATCCCAATTTTTCCAGATTGATTGTCGTTTATTACAAGTGTACACTTACACCGTTGGAAAGATGCGAAATTATAGCAAAACCAATTGTTAAATGAAATGAAGTATGAAAACACTCACATCCTTTGGTCAGCATGAAAATATTTTCCCGAAGATTTAACCTTATGACCTTATGACACCCGATGACCTTTAAAATGTTATACGCCGAAGTTTTTTTCTCTATAAACCTATACTGGTTGTATCAATGATATATATCAACTTTCAGAAGCCGATTGCTCAGCAATGGCTTCAGATTCTGAGATATTCTTCTGATGATTCGCACAGAGATATTCTTCTCATCGCGTGAATTGTCACTACCGGAATTCTCTCATAAATTGAATTTTCGATGATAATTGTTTCAGTACATAACTCGTTAATATGGTATCAAAAAAATTATTGCTAGAAGTTAAAATACTCAAAAAAGTTTCTTCTTCGATATGGCGTTTAGAGAACTGCATTTCACTATCAATCTGAATTTTTTCATTTTTACCATTGATTTTCAATGGAAGAAATATCCAACTTTGCGCCCAGATTTGAGCATGGAAACATGATTTTAAATCATGCTGCGTTACATCATTAGAAAGACAAATTTTTTGAAGTTTAATATGGCCGCAAAAAAATTGACCTGAAAATTCGCACAGCAAAATCTGCCACTTTTGCTACTTTGGTAACAAACACTTTCATGATAACTGATTTTGATTGAAACCAAAGTAGCGCCATACTAAACTTTGACATTTTTTCTATAATGTGACTTCAAGGACAAATTTCTATCTGAAGACATTGCAGAGCAATCGGCTTCTGAAAGTTGGTATATATCATTGATACACTCAGTATATCAAGTGCTAGTTCGCTCGTATTGGAACTTGTTTTATTAAAACAAAAAGTGAATTTTTAAAGACTATAGTCGGAAAATCACACTTCTGAGTTAAGCTCTCAAAAATAGGCTAAAATGAAAATACTTAAATGTGAGAATTTTGCTCTGTCATCAGCAGTTTACGGGAAAATCAAGGTCAAAGTTTGAAATTCGAACGCGTTTTTAATAGCTTCTGGTTCTCATAACTCTATCAGAACATGGTAAACTAGAACAAAGGGCTATTCACACGAAACTGATTCGATGTAACTGAAAATTTTTCAGCTAAAAACATTTATACCCAGTTTGACATATTGCACTCTGTCAATTACCGGAAAACTTTGTTCACCAGAATCGATAAGCTCATAGATGCTCAAGACTTTGGGCCAAACAAACCAAGTATTCATATTGAATTTATTTCCATTAAACTATTTTGCAAATCTCTTTCAGTTAATCGCAAAAACAGAGTATAACTTACAATAAGTTGCTAACCAAGTTTTACTATCATTTGTGCTGAGATAGACTTTGAGTAGAATAAACATTATTCAAGAAATCAAATTGATTTGAGTGATTCAATAATGAGCTCTTCACCTTGGAAACAATTTACATCTCTTGGAAGAATGAGAAAGAGCAATGAGATAAACAAAAAGGCAATATATTGATTATAAAAGTGTGAAAAGTATTTCGCTATTCTGATTCACAGATTGACGCAAGATAATCAATCAATAGTTAAATATAGTTGCATTAACTTTTACCGTAACCTTTCCATCCTTTCCCTCTTGACCATCACCATCATCATCACTATCCATAGTCTTTACTTGTAGATATAAGTATTAATACATTGAGAGCCATTTCATTATTTAATAGATTGATCGATTTTTCTCCCATTTTGTGCAACCTTTCCGTTCACCTATCAATTTCAATTTAATTGACTTTTAAAAATTCATTTTCTAATTTGCAATTCAACATTTATTTACATTCTTACCAGTATAATGGTTCAACCGAAATTCATTATGCTGGTTGTTATTCAAAGATTATTGATCTCAATTAGTTGTTGCTTCAACAATTCAAACTTTTTGATTCAAATCAACTTTCCGATTAAAAAATGATTCGAAAAATTTTCTTCCCTTTCCATGATTGAATGAAAAGTTGCACAAGTGAAGCTTTAGAATCGTTAGTCAAATCTGAATGTTTGGCAAAGAAAAACTTGTCAGTTTGTACTCATTCCAATCAACTAATCAATCATTTCCTCAACTTTACTATCGATTCCAACTATTGACTTTTCATGTGTGTTTTAAGAGACGATTGAAATTTTGCGTCTTGTGTTGCCTTTGATCAACTTGTATTGTCCAATGTTCACTCAAATTTCAATCTTTGATGAATAATTTCATTTCTTCTTCATTTTCAGACTAACCAAAAGACATGATTGGATCAAGATTGAAATGAAGTTTAAATTCACTTTATATCTATTTTACCTGATTCTGGACTCAATTTGTACTTCAGGTATTTATAGACCTTACAATTTTTTGTACTGAAATGACCTGCAAACATCATCACAAAATGAGACACTTTTTGTTGATATTCAAATGTCTGTAAATGGAAAAATTATTGATGCAAACTTTTCTCTCTTTTTTAACCATTCAAGTTTTGACCTGTTTATGAATTGAATTTTCATCAAGTTAGCAACGAAAGCGAAAAAGACAAAGCAAGAATAGGAATTCCCAACTGGAATTACTTTGCTTAATCAGATCACATTACAGTGAAAACAGAATTGAGATAAAAAGAAGAAGTAAAGGAGAAAAAAGTAAATGCAGTAAAAGAATATTGTTTACCCAAAGAAGAAGAAGCAAAAAACGGAAAAAGAAGCAAAAAAACTGTTCATTCGAAACGCACAGAATTATCATGTTATCCTTTTTCTCTCACTTCTTCCATATACATTAGACAATTTTCATTATCATTATCATTACCATTATCAATATTGTGACATTTTTAAGGTTCCCATTGAATGTTTCACGTAAAACCAAACTTTGTTTTCTTGTTGCTCCAAATGTTAAGTTATTCAGACAAAACTTGCCATGATTTTAAAGAGAAAAGAAAGAAAAGAAAAATGTAAATACTCAGAGTTATGATATGTGATTCAGTAAAATGAACTTGCATTTGATATTATAATGATATAAGTTGAGTCGGATTTGAATGAAACTCGAGACTGAAAAATATTGCTTCTTAAATATTAACTCCAAAAAAGTAAACTAAAGAAAAGTGTATTTTTGATAAAACCATTTTCTGCTCTACTTTTTTCACTATGATAACATGATAAGCTTATAAAAAATAATTTCGTTGGCAACTTTAATTGAACTCCTAATCATGTAAAGAGCATTATTGCAGAGAGAATTTGAAAGGAGCGATAAAAATTTTCTTTTCTTCGCTTCTTTTCGTCCAACGAAATTATTTTTTTTTTCTTCTTTTCTCTTCTCCAGCAAAGATTCTCCATTTTCATGATAATCATACATTAAAAGAGAGTAAAGCTGTTTAGCCATAATCAGTGTTTCTTTATTGATAGTAATCTTGAATTTCATTGTTGCGATAATATTGAACAACATGTTATTCCAGTGCAGCTATTATTACACACAATATGTTTACTTCAACATTGTTACATAATCTCAACATTGTCATGATGAAACATCATGATTATCATGATTATCATGGAAAGATAAAACCAAAACCAATATTGAGTTATCAATATCAATTGCTTTAATTCACAAACCATTTTCTCTTGAAACTTTTTTTTCGTTTCTTCTCATTTTGCACCCTTTTCTCTATTCATAACATATTATCATTGTAATATTTTCAGTTGCACTCCCAACGATAATGCTGGGAGTGAGAAATATCTTTAGAGAGAGAGAGTAACTTGCACATAATAATGAGAAAAGAAAATTTTCCCTTTTAACTCAATTATTATTATGCCATTTTTATTGTCATTATTTTGCTCTGAATCTTTTTTCATTATTTTTTATTATCGCTATTATTGTAAGTTTTTTGTAGTCACTTCACGATATTTTCATAACCACAGATATATTTCAATTCAACTGTTCAATCGATATGAAAAAAAGTTCATTTTTTGGGTTTACATTTTTGTTTGAAATTTTCTTTTTCTCTCGAATTTTTCATTCCTTTTCTCTACCTTTTCCATCCTGGACTGTATTATGCATTATTATCATTGTTATTATTGCCATTATTTGATACATGCATTATGTATTATCTAATATTTTATATTTTATCACTTTCGACTCGAGTTTAGTTTTCTCTCTCTCTAGTTGACTTTCTTTTGTTTGTTTGTTGTCTTGTTATTGACTTTGTTTCAATACTTTTTCATGCTTTTCTTTCTTGTTTCATGCGTTCATGCGTTATGTTTGTTTGCACAAGATTGACCCGGTTCAAAAACATCATTTACATGTTGAATCAGCAGAAAAATTTCAGACAATTTTAAATTCATTTTTCAATGTTTTCTCCAATTATTATTTGAAGGAAAACGGTTCAGATTCAAATTCAGTCAATTCATCATTTTTAACTTTTCCTCTGGAATGATAAAGTGCATCATCGGTGTAGAATGTCGTCAAGGTACATCAATTGATGTCTAGCTTTTAATATCGACTAGAAAAATCTGTTTAGGAAAAACTGAATTATTTAGTTCGACTATTGATTTTATCGGCTTCAACAATAATTTCATTATCAAATCCTAAATTAATTCTGTAACCTTTGTTAGGTTAGATTTACGATTTATCGAGAAAAGTTAGAATAATAAAGTTTCAAAAAAAGAAGAGAAAATTATTAGTGGAATGGTAAAGGTGGCGATGAAATGGTGATATGAAAAGTATTATGAACTTGAAAATGATGTGGATTTTTTTCCTAATCCATTGATATTTTTTATTCAAACGATTCCAGCGCAAGAACATCATGTAAACTCGGTTCTTCTCATGGGAAAGGAAAACAATAAAACTCACAAATAGTATGACAAGTATGACTATTGATATTGAGTTGAGAATTCTTGATTCTGCCATTGATTCATGGCTATCTGGATTTGACTGAAATGTTGATCAACTTTATTCCTATTTACTCTGCTATCTAATAGTACCGGAACTGTATCAAAACGGAACTGTAAGGCCAAGAAAAATGATGAAAATTTTGAACTTGATTTTATACTCTGTGGAATGAATAAGGCAAAAAATTGAATGTTTTTAATTCGATACCAATTAACTAAATTGAGATGAAGGAAGAAAGTAAGACTTTATCGCCAAAGTTGGATGAAAAAAATGAAGTTTACTTTCTGCTAAAATTTCATTTTTCAATTTGTAAATTGAAATTTCGTTACTTAACCAGTTGCATAATCTTGGATGGTTCATCATTATGAAAACCCACTCAAAGAGTTTGACATTTCTGAAAATGTTTCAACATGTGATTATCTTGTAAAATGCAACAAATGTCAAAGCAACTTTTTTCTTGGCCCTGCAAATGCACATGATCTTGATGTTTTTCCTAGTAAATAACTTATCAGCTTGAAATCTTTGATATCATGACTTTTATGTGACTTGCTTATACAATCCATTCAATATTTTGAGCTGAAACAAAAAATTACCAAACTGAAAAATTTTCAGCATGTAAGCCATGATCAAACTGCATTCACGAAAAATAATCAGAGTGCGATCAGAATTTAGGTAACTAAGAAATACACGTTTCAACAGGGTTAGGGGAAAATACAGAATCCATAGTTTTTTCTATTGAATTTGAGGGAAACTTTTTTGATTACTCAGGTTGACGGTTTTTTGCTGGATTATGGGTATTTATAAATGTAAAACTGTCTTTCAAGTAAAGAGTAGAGCTTGGTGAGTAAACCTGATAACTGTACAAGAAAGTATTTAAGTTTCAATTTGAACAAGAATTGTCCATCAGAGAAATATTTGAACTCAAAAAATAATTGTTCTATTTTTAGTTTTTTATCACTGACGATGATTTTATTTCGTGGACAATACGAATCTTTTAAATTTGAATGAATTCGAATAGGAAATGCCATCGTGCTTTCATGATCGCAGCAGCTTCTTTTAAAAGTTTCAATAAAGCTAGTTAATCAGCAGATATAAAAGATGAAATATGATTGGTTTGGATTGACCAGCCAGACAATATCACAATGTTTGAACATTATTTTGTTGATTCGTATTTTTATTCAATTGCTTTTCATTTATTCAACTGATTGGACACATTTAATGGGAAAAATTGAGTCACAATAAAATTTGAGTTCAATAACATTTATCTGATAATGGTTGTGAGAGGTTGATAAAAGATGAACAGTTTGTTAACTCGTTCAAATGATGATGTTTACTGATGAAAAATTTTCACCTTAACAATATTTTAAAGCAAACTTTTCATGATTTACTTTTTTCTCTCATGCTTTCAGCTTCCGGAAATTATGTTGGAATTGTTGGTAAAAGTATTTCAATAGCTTGTAACACCAATTTATGGAGTGAAAATGATATCTCTTTAATCCTTTGGTATAAAGGATCCAAAGGTGTTCCAATCTATTCAATAGACTCTCGAACTACTTCACTCACCAATTCAAGGCACATGTCGTCTGGACCAAGATACAAGCTTAATGTTTCCATACTTCCTCCTGAGTTGATTATTGATTCTCTTGTAGAGGCCGACGAAGGTGAATATCGTTGTCGAGTCGACTACAAGAATGAAAGGACTCAACATTATGCCACATTTCTCGAAATTTTAGGTAAGTTAATTTTAATTTCCTTACTTCGGTAGGTAAACAAAACAGACAAAGATGATCAACTTTTTTGCATTCATTTGTTAATTCACTTATTTTTATTAAAACTTTCAAAAATTCATTTTCATTCAGCTTCTTTTCCATTGTTATAAATTCAAATGAAAAAATTGTGAAGGTTAATGATGTTTGTTTTTTGTATCAAAGTAATTCAATTATATTCAAATGTTCTGGCACACCTTGATTACTTGCTCTCATCGTGCTCTGGATAGTCATTTTTCAATTAAAGTACTGAATGAATGGTTGTTAAATGACAAAAATTGGCCAAAATATTGAACTGATTAAAAGTAAAATCTCAATTTCAACTGAAACATTTGCTTTTAAGTTTGCTTGTCTGGATCCTTCAGCGTATGTGATTCATTCAATTGTCTGACATTATTATTAATGTTAAGCTTTGTGAAGCAATGACAAGAGTGAAAAACCGCGTTAGATGTGATCTAGATAAGAATAAAAGTCAAATTAATTCCTTCAAATCATTGCCGACACTTTAGTTTATTGCATGATAATTGTGACGACAAAGAGTTTAGAAATTAAAAATGACTAAAATGCACTAATCTCATCACTTTGCTTTTTAACTGCAAACATCTCCTAGTTATGAAGGGTGTTGCGCATCCTAGCTAAGTTAAAGATGAAGATGATAAAGACGCAAATGACAAGACCGCGACTCTCATTCTTATCCATTTGTATCTTTATCAGCTTTCAACCATCTTCAAGATAAGACGGTCCTTTCAAACAACACCCTTTACCAGCTCAAAAGTAATCAAAGTCACAAAAAAATCGAAAATTCTCAAAGTTTTGCAATAATTTTGGAAACTAAAACTGATGATAATGATGATAAAGAAAGTTGATGATGGCGAAGATGGTGAAGTTAACTTTTATTCGTCGGTTTCAAATAAAACGCCCATAATATGCACTTAATTCTGGCGCTTGTGTGTTACAGAATTTATCTTTTTCTACTTCTAATACATTCTGATGAGCGATTAGGTTAGGTTTCCCTAACTTGCCCTTTGCTAACCACAACACTCTTTAGCTCAAATGATTGTTAAGTTTTTTAAAGTTGATTAAAGATTATGAAGGGAATGATGAAGGCTTATATCGAACCAATGATAATGCTAGAGTATTATGATGATTGCGAGCGAGTAATTGTTTGAGTTAAACAACCTGCGAAATCAAGTGGTTGGGATGAAAATTTAGAGGCTTAAAGTTTCATAAGCAATCGATACTAAATGAGAAAATTTTATCAAAAAAGTAAATGAAAAAAGTCGAAAATTTTTCTTCGTTTTTTCCCTTTTATCCAAAACTTTTGTTGAAGGAAATGCTGAACGAATTGGATGAACAAATTAAAGCAAGTATCTTTGAAATCAATTTCATATGATTGACCATTAGATAACGATGTAATCACTGTGAAGGTTAAACAGTGAAATACTTGGGTTCATCATCATCAAACAGTCCAATGGATTTAACAAGGTTTCAATTGATTCCTTCATTTCTTGTTGTTCGCGTTTCGCCATTTGTTCAATCGAAATGGGACAAGAAAAAGTTGCAAGTGGATATGAAAAGAGAGAGAGAAGAGCAGAATGTTTCAAGATAATGATGATAATGATTTCGATGATATTGTTACTCTTCGTCATCTTCTTGCTCTTCATTGTTGCCTTTCTTTTCCATTCTAAATGATCTTCCCTTGGTACGAATTGTTTAGCAAAAAGATTTGTTGGAAAGCAAAAAACCATCAAATTGATTGATACCCATCTTCAGGTGAAGAGATGATGATGATAAAAAAGAAGGAGAAGATTGAACAAATTGACAAGCTTAAAGTGAAAATAGTTTTTTGTGTTCTTCTGATGGTCATCATCATCACACTGATTGCCATTATCAACACTCTTAACTCAATGGCTTTACTCTAATTTCATCCTGCAGTGAGAAGACAGAGTTTCTCTTCAACTTTCATCTTCCAAGCTCTTCATCACCAGCGGTAAAAAAAGAGATAGAAAAGAAACTTTTTTTGTTCTTCTCTCCTCTTCTCTTCCCAATTTCACTCGCTTTTTTATTAGTATGATAATGATGATAATAACGATCGTTAATGGGTGATAATAGTAATAATAATAATTCAATTTACAAGTTTATTTCGTCTCTTTTGTTGTACCGTTAATTCAATAAAAAGACTTGAATAGAGACTCAACCAAATCTCTTTGCTTCTCTCAATCTGTTGATGAACCTCAATACCAACATCTTAATCAAGCTACACACAACTGGTGCTATTCATTGATAAGATAAAAGGTCTCATCAATGGATACCATTAATCGACCGAAAATGATTACACTTTTATCCATTAAACTTTGAAATCAAGAGTTTGGTGAAACCACGAAATTGTTTAATTTTTCAATTCATTTTGTGGCCTTTGATTGCGATAATGAAAAGTTTACAAACAAAGGTTTTGCATTTTAAACACTTTTATTTCAATTTTATTGCCTCTCCAAGCTCAACATTTTACGCAATTTAGACTTTCGCTTTTACCGTTGGTCGTAAAGCCTCTTGGAAAATAAGTGCAATTAGACAATAAAATAAGCATAAAATAACCTCAAACTGTATTGTTTCCAGTCTTTTATCTTTTATTTACACACGAAAATAATTTTATGATCGTTAATAGAACCATCGTATAACGAATATTTGAAATTCTAGCCAAACAGTTATATGAATGTAACGAAGCGAGATAGAGATACACTTTTGGACGAATAATGGAGTAATGATGGAATAAATATTTGGACCAAAAATCGTTCTTTCACATCTTTTCAAACTAAGCTTGGTTGGTTGTACAGTAAATAAACTGGTGGCAAAAAAGATAGAGACAGTGAGTTTTTTGGTAATTGTGATCGATTTTAAGGGAATTTTGAAACAAAATGTACTTCAGGGCAAGATTAGAGGGAAAACTCAACCAGTTGATCCATTTTCCAAGAAAAATTTTCTCGGAAAATCAACTAATCCTCACAATTAGCTTAGATGGGTGGCAAAAAAGATAGAGACAATAATCATTTCATAGGAATTTTCTTAATCTTTGAGCTGATTTTTCAGTATAAATAGCCAGAAACAATGAGAAAAGGGTCACTTTCAATTTCCAACCCCAACTACATTGTAATTTGTTGTAAATATTTGTGCAATTAACTATGGGTCGAGGTTCGTCACTTACACCATATGAAATGGGTCAAATTGATACTTTAAGAGGTGCTGGTGATTCAATACGAGTTATTGCTAAAAAGATTAATCGATCAGTGAGTATTGTTCATCATTATATCGTTTTGGGTGAAATTTATGGCAAGAAAAAGTCACCTGGACGGCCAGCGAAACTCACTCAACGTGACAAACGATCTGTTTTAAGAATCGCTTCGGAAGGAAAATCATCTTGTAATGAAATTTTACGTGAAACTGGATTAAATGTATGTCGTAGGACAATTCTCAACGTGATTCATGAGTCTGAATTCATGAAATACGAGTCTATGGAACGCAAACCAAGACTAACTGAATCTCACAAATTGGCTCGTTTAGACTTCGCTCGAAATCAAATGACTTGGGACAACGAATGGATTTCGGTTATTTTTAGTGATGAAAAAAAGTTTAATTTAGATGGTCCTGATGGTGCAAAAAGTTACTGGCATGATCTTCGAAAGGGAAAAAGCTATTTTTTCTAAACGCAATTTTGGTGGAGGTTCGTGATGGTTGGGGTCATTTTGTTTCAACGGTGTGCTGCCTTTAGCTAAGATTTCTTGCAAAATGAATTCGAGTGACTATCAAGAAATACTGTCAGAAAATTTGCTTCCAATTGCATCTACATTAGCTGGCGAAAATTGGATTTTTCAGCATGATAATGCTTCAATTCATAGCAGTAATGCAACGAAATCTTTTTATCATCGAATAATATCAAAGTTCTTACATGGCCATCATGCTCACCCGACTTGAACCCAATTGAAAATTTATGGGGACTAATTGTTCGACAAGTTTACAAGAATTTTAAGCAATACAACTCGATTAATGAACTCTGGAATGCTGTCCAGGATGCTTGGTACGAAATCGAGCCTGAGTATTTGCAAAATCTTATTAATTCAATGAAAAATCGTATATTTGAAGTAATCAATGTTAATGGGTCACAGACTCATTATTAAGCTAAATTTGAATGTCTTAAGCATCAAAAACTCAAAAATTAATGATTTGTCTCTATCTTTTTTGCCATGTCAGATTTCAAAATTATCTAATAAATTGAATTGAAAGATTTATTGTCGTAAAATTTTCGACCCAAACGAACTAGTTACTATCAAAGTATAAATTAAACATACTTTAGTTTCAAAGAAATATAGTTAATCAAAAAAATTAGAAAAAAACCAACTGTCTCTATCATTTTTGCCACCAGTGTATCGCTAATCTTTTTCAGTGAAAATTTCATTTTTAACATGAAAAGAACTTGATTGATGGATAAAACCGAAAGATCAAAATGATATTTTTGATTTGTATACTGAAGATTCAAAGCATACAATGTTACAAAAATCAGTCTCATTTCTATACATTCTATGTGTAAAAATATTTCTGTACTTTCAGTCAGGCAAAAGGGAAATTTCGTTTATGGAGAAAAGTTTCGATTTTTCTCAAAAGGTAACTGATTTCTCAAACACTAATAAAGCTAATGTATCATTTTTGTCAGAACAAAATTAGATGAATTTGTCCATCTTTTGAACAAAGTACATCGATAATTTGTCAAAGTTTGCTCGTTTTTAGCCTTAAAAAGACCATCTTATGCAGTATCAGCTTCGAGTTCATCAGTAGCAGTCCCAGCATCAAATACTGGATCAGGACCATAAGCAGCAGCTTCAGATCCATCAACAGAACCATCAACCGGTAACTCAGCCAACTCGTGGTCATCAGGATCATGTTATGCAGTTACAAATGACTAAATGTGAAAGTTG